TTAACGTTTTCCAGGAACGTCCTCGTCATCGCTGCAGCCAAGGAGGAGGGGGGTGGGGGACAACAAGCCTGCTGGGAACCGTCTATAAAAACGGCCAGCGTCTAGCTCCACTGTGTTTCCCCGACAATGGAAGAAGGAAAAAAAAAAAACTAAAAATAAACCGTGGCAGCCAACCAGCTTCCTCCCCGGTCTCTCGCTGCGTTGTCCCAGACAGGAGAGGTGACCTCTTCCGCAGCTCGGCTCGACATTGTTACTTGTGCAAAAATAAAGGAAAAGATTTCAAGACCCCCAGGTTTAAAGAGTGGGGGCAGAAAGCGGCCGGTTGATTCAGCAGCTCGGGGGGAGGGGGTTCGCGGACCCAAGCCTTCAGCCTGGGGGCCGAGACCAGATCAGAGCTGCGATCCAGTGGGCACGAACCCCAGCGTCCGGCTGTGTAAAACATTCCTCCCCCGCCCCGGTGCCACGCGCCCACGGAGATGCTGACTCATCCCTCTCTTCCCACAGACTCGACCCCTGGAGTCCGCTCCGGGGAAGCACAGGGTCACGAATTTGAACCTCACGATACAGGTGTCCTCTTGGTCCACCTTCAGATACAGGAAGCAGGACAACCGCTATAGGTCACCGCAGACTGGGACGGGCTGGTCAGGGTGGCCAGCGTGTCTGCAGGTGCGCCAGGTCACAGCAGCAGCACAAGAAGCGCTGGGATAAACCTTTAAACCGGTCCAATTAAACCGGTCATGAGCCGATTGAGCTCGTTAAGAGCTGAGCTGGGGAGGAAAGACCTGGAGACACACTGGCCCTCCAGGGGCAGGACTGGCCACCCTCACGTCAGAGCGCAGACCAACGTCAGCACGGCGGGCCGGCTCTCTCGTTCCACATCGGACATCACCAGACGGAGGCTCTCCGATCGCTGGTTCCCAGTGCAGCCAGTAGCCACTAATAACTCAGGACCAGGCAGGAGCAAAGGCTGCCAACAGCCCACAACCAGGAAAGTCAGGGCTGCCGACCTTTGACCCGGGGTGGCGATGGGGTGGAGGGGCTTCCTCGAGGATAAAGGAGGCTGGGTTAAGAGAACCAGGATAGGAAAATCTTACCGGCTGAGGCTTCTCCACCACGCAGCATCCGATCTTGTGCCAGAACTCGCTCATGGCTGGAACTCTTGTCCCGGTTGTAGAAAACAACAAGATCCCTTTCCACGCCTCTTCCCTCTTCCTGGCTGACCGTAAAACCCCTCCGGAAAAAATAGAACGGAGAGGAGAGGGGGCAGCCCGCGCTTGCTTGCGTCTGGTCCTGCGAGGAGGGGGCTCACTCCATTCCTGGCGATCCGGTCCGGTCGTCCTCCCCACCGCCGCCACCACCACCTCCAAATCTCCTCCGAACCCAACCAACTCGGGATTCAGCCGGACAGGAAGAGAGGGGAAAAAACGTTCTGGGCTGCCGCCTTCTTCTCCGCCCGCGTCTCTCTGCGCTCTCTCTCTCTCCGACTCCCGGTCCGACCTGTCGGGACAGAAACGCAGATGCCGTTGGCGGATCGTGCCGGGTGGAGGCGACCAGCCGAGCGCCGCCCTCGCCCGGAAGCAGCGGAGCGAGGGAGCTGGGAGCAAGGGATTCGCGCTGGGAAAGCGCAGAGGAGACGCAGCAGGGAAACCCAAGCACTGCTGCAGGAAACGGGGAAAACGAACGAGAACTGCACCGCTTGTTAACAAACAAATAAAAAAAGAAATTGATTCTCCCGTTGATGCCCAAATATTTCTGATCACCCCCGGGAGGGGGAAAAAAGCCCGAAATCGGGAACTGAGAGCCGTCGGGCACACAGCATCGGAGCTGGGTCCCTTCGCCCACTGCTCCCCACACATCCCCCTGCTTACGCAAAACCAAAGACAGGAACCTCATGGCATTCAAGGAGGGAAGTGTCCCCCCGCGGGGCAGCCCCAGGGGTCGAGCGACGGGACACATGCTGGGTTTAACCTGCAGGGCAAAGCAGAAACGACAACCCAGCCCCCCCCCCCACCCCAGACCGGACCCCCGGTCCCTCTAGCCCCCCACCCAGGAGGCACGACCATGAACCCTGGGAGAAAGAGGGGTGCTCATTACCCCAAGTTTTTCCTTCCCTGAGGCCTCCAGTTATATAGCGCCTTGCGAAGGCGTTCACCCCCTTCCGCTGACGCCCCATCTGGCTGAATCACAAACGAAGGAAGTGGACACCCTTGCAGAAGTGGAAGTGAAAGATGTCCCAGAAGGAAACGCAAAGCAAGTGCCATTCGTGCGTCGAACTGCACAACGCCCCCCCCACCCCCAAAACACCCCTGTCCAAAAACGGGGTACATGAAATCCAGCCTCTTCATTTCGGAAGTGCACTTAAAGCAGACTTCTTTACACAAAGAGTGTAATATTCACTGCTTACTACACAAAGGACAGGGAAGATCCAGAAACAGCTGACTGATCCAAGGATCAGGTTCCGGTAGAGCAGCGTGGGCACCCCCCTGACCGGTCAAGCTTGGCGGAGATTCTGAGAAATTCCGAGGACTCGGAAGGCCCCCCAGGACGAGGGGCCGGGTGATTCAGACAGGAATGACGGCGGGAGGTTTTCTAGGCTGAGAAAATTCTTGCGCAGTGAGGTCCAACCCAAGCAGCACTGCCCAGATTCAGCCGATGCCCGCCAGCATCTCTGAAAGGGATCGGCTTCAGAGGAAGCACACCCAGACCCACTCGCAGCCAGAGAGCCTCCCCAGACCCTCCTAGTGCGTACACCTCTCCTACAGGGCCTGTAATCACAACGCCTCCCGTCTGCAGCTCTTAACGAACCACTCTAGGTGAAGTGCTCTCACTTTTGTTTCTTCTGAAGTGTGGCTGAAGGATTTTTTATTTTTTTAATGCCGAGCTCGGTCTGAGTAATCGGATGACAGAGCTCCGAGGGGGGGGGCGGGGGAGGGTGAACTCGCTGTCCTCAGTTACTCTCTCCGTGACGTACACATGGGGATTTACTGCTCAGTATTCGCCTTTTCACTTCTCCTCTCTCTCCACCCTGAGCAGCCCCTCGCTGACCCGTTCGGATCGTGGCTCCGACCCCCGCAGGCGGCCGGCCGGCCCCGGGCGGGCGGGCTTGGGAACGATGTCAATTCATTGATGGCTGAGCACTTTATCTCCAATTCTGCACTGAGCACACCATCGTGAACTTTGCGGACGCACCGTAAGTCGCCGTGTTGTCACAAACCCCGGTCTTCCCACGAACCGCTGCGGTCTCAAAGGAGAGAGCCACATTTCTATCGGTTTTCACAAGCCTGCTCGTTTACAGTGCAATAGAGCCGCAACGCGTCGCCACAAGTTCTGCTGCCTCTGCGCAGACCTGGACATTTCTGTCTATTCTGGGGTGTGAACTGGAGGTTTCACACGTTACTGCGTACATCTTGCTTTCGCCGCGGTGTGGAGTGCACTCATCAAGGCCGAGTCTTTCTAGCCCTGAAACAGGAGGAGTGCCGGGCTGGAGCCTCCTGCAGTCTGGCAGGAGTGACTGGCAGTGCCGTTGGCGTTGGCAAAACCACCGCACCCTGGCCCAAGGCCTTCGCTTCCTGATGAAACCTCTGACGTTTTCTTTTTTTTTTTTTAAAGAGATCTCCCACGGGCGTCATTCCCGTCCTCCTTCAGACCCGAGGGCAGACCCGCAAGGGGCCCGCCGGGTCTCCCCCCCCAGCAGGGGAGCCGATGGCGGACACAGAGGCTCCAAAGGGAAGTTTCCTTGCGGACAGGCAAGCACCCCGTCTCTGGTTCCCTACCGGCAGGGGGCCACGCTGACTCTGCTCGGTTCAAGTGCAGTGGGGCTCGGGGCTCACGGACAGTCCCAGCGCCTGGCGGGGGGTTTCGGCAACCTGTTGGCCAGCGGCATTGTGGGGGAAAGCGAACAGGAGAGCAACGACGGGAAGGATGGCGTACATGAAATCCTCAAAGACTACACGAGGCCAGGACGAGAGACACCCCCCCGCCTCACCTTCTTCCCTGCTCACAGGGGTGCCTCCCCTCGCTCGGGACAGCCCGCGTGGGTGCAGCCCCCTGCCTCGCGGTCAACGTCGGCACGACCGAAGACTGGGCGCCGTTGCTTCGGAAGCCGAATCTGTAACCGGTCGTGCGCACAGGTCTCTAGATCCGCATGGTAAAACCCGGAGCGGATCACACCGTTGTGCAGCGGGAGCCTGGCTGACAGCGCTGCAAAACCCTGGAGTGGATCCGACTCCTGCACTCCCAGAGCCCGATGGAGGATGCTATAAAGCCTGGAGCGGATCGGCCTGCTGCACGCGAGGAGCCTAACCGACAGAGGATCGTACTGCTGTGTGCTGGAAACCTAAAAACTAAAAGGTGGATGAGTCAGGCCCCCCAGAGCTCAGCACTCTGAGCCACTCCACGTCTGACCACCAGGCTTCTGCACCGCAGGAACACAGGGCACTGGAGAGTGCAGGCCGTGGGCTTCTCCCAGGCTTTTAGAAGAGACAGGACACAAAACGCAACCCGTCAAGCCATGTCGGCTGGGTTTATATCCCGAGCCCGGCCTCCTCCAGTTTTTTGACAATCTATTCTTAAACCGTAGGGTCACAATAAGACCGTCTGTGTTCGTGCCGGCCGGCCAAACCGCAGGACAATCCGGTCTTTATTCCCGGGGGAGACACAGACTGCAGATCCGCCTGGACAGAAGGACTGCCGGCCCGGATGAAAGAGGGCAGTGTTGTGGCAGAGGGACAGCGCGGGGCTGGGGATCGGCCCTCCCCGAGGGAGACGGGGAAGGGAGATGCCCAGGTCT